TATACCTGTACACAAACACAGAAAAACGCACACAAACATCTATGCCCTGAGTGGGATTCGAACCCACGATCCCGGCTTCCGAGCGAGCGAAGACAGTACATGCCTTAGACCGCTCTGCTACCGTGACTGGCAGTGTATAAGAATAATATATAAGAATTCAGTACGTACCTCACAGGAAACAGATCCGAACCCACGGTCTCGGCTTCCGAGCGAGCGAAGACAGTACATGCCTTAGACCGCTCGGCTACCGTGACCGGCAAGATGCATATACCTAGAGCTATTAATTTCTCATTTTATCCGGCCCGTTGAAAGTGCTGAATTAACTAATGTGGCCCGCGTTTCGAAAAGTTTGGAGACCCCTGCTCTAGACAATCGGTTCATAGATTTCGGTAGTTTGTCAGCCTTACAAGGCGGCCGCCCTTTACCCTTCCCCCGGGAAGATTTCTGGTACTGATTTCTGATACAGACTGAGTCGACCCCAGGGACACAGTGCAGCTGGAAGGATGAGGAAGATTGCAAAAATCCAACACAATGGGACTCGAACCCGCGACCTTCGGGCTGTAGAATAGTCTCAACCAACCACGCTACCGCATGCCCCTACCATTTATTATTTCACTGTGAATAGCATCTCGCCGATTAATTATATAGTTTACAAGCTCTGTGTGGGCTTTACATTGTGTAAAATTCAGTCTAATATTGTTCGTCAATTCGATATGTTTTATGTGAAATATAGGCCTAATGTAAGAACTGGATTCTAAAATGAAAAATTTGCTTAAAGCTCATTTCATCGACTCAAATTATATTCACCAGCATATCAGTCCCAGCTCAACATTATAACTCGACGATAATAAAATGTTAATAAATAAGAAAAAATTGACATCAAAATACGCAAAGGATTGAGTAAAATTTCAATTTCAAATCGAGGAGAAATCATGCAGTATGTTGTGAAGCATCGACCAATTTCCAGGAAACGTCCGCAACACAAACGCCGTCGTATTTCCTTCGTGCCCGCACACCTATCGTTGTTAAGCAACGCGCACAGCTTGCTAGCGCGGAGACACGTCAGCAGTGGGTACCGATGACGTGGCATGTGTAGATGTGGCAACACCGTTGCCGCATAACAGCCAGGGCGCAGGTTACGACACGCTGGCGTGATGACGTAAGAGCACAGTAGTACGGAGCGGTCACGTAACTTTTTTTTTTCTGCGCCGCAGTTATATAAGGGAGCAGACTTCGAGCTGAAGCAGTAAGAGGCAGAGTAGTGCGGAGTACGTTGGAGGAAGTGCGGAAAACTAAAGTAGATCAGACACGCCTTAACAAGAGATGGCGTTTGAGGAGTGTCACACATCAGTGCGGGGACAGAGGGATAAGAAAGTGGTGTGGACAAGAAAAATCAAGGTAGGAAGTGCTCATCAGGCAGAAATTCCTGAATGTCTTTGTAAATACAACGATGCTCTGCCTTATGAAAATGAAGATAAGTTGTTGTGGAGCCCGAATTATTTGTCGGAAAAGGATACGAAGGACTTCCTCGTGAAAGTACAGGGCTTAAGTGCTGTACCTACTGGGACTCGCACGAGAGATGACGAGCAGGCTCTCTACTTATTACTTCAGTGTGGTTATGACACTGAAGAAGCACTAAGAAGACTCCGTATGAATGAAGTATCTCCAGCTGACACCATGAGTCTTTGGTCTGAGGAAGAACGTGAAAATTTTCAGACAGGCCTTCACAAATATGGTAAAGATTTTCACATCATCCAACATAAGAAGGTGAGAACACGATCAGTCGCTGACTTGGTTAACTTCTACTATCTATGGAAGAAAACGGAGGAGCACGACATATTTGCCAACAGGACACAATTAAATAAGAAAAAGCGCATTCCATTCACAAATATTATGGATATGTTCCTAGACGAGCAAGAAAATGAGGCTGTTGTTCAGAGAAATGGGAGGTCTTTTCCTAACAAGAAGTCACAGAAAGCAAGAAAATGCCGCGGAAGAAAAAGGAAGTTACCTATCATTTGAGATCACTAAGTGATACTGGACTTGAAATGTAACGATACAGTGTGGCGGCTCTTGGTGGCCACGGTTTGAGTGGAGGAACTCGAAGGCGCAGTATTTATTGTGAAGCCTTTGTAAATTTCTTGGATACTCATTATCATTCTTGTTATCTTGTTCATTAATTAATATTATACGTATTATTTACTTGAACATGTGTTTCTTTATTAATAATATATGGCTATGAACCCAATATTTATTCCCTGTTCCCTGCAATAAATACACGCCTTTCCTAGGTTACAAGAGCACAGTAATGAAAGGGAAATCGGAAGCAGAGGCTGATAAATAACTGGCTTAATAGTCAAACAACTGATAGCGGAAGTGAAATATAACAAAGTGATTACGTAAGGATACCTTTATCTCATAGATCAAGGGTCTCCAAACTACGGCCCGCGGGCCACATCCGGCCCGCGAAGTGATTTTATTCGGCCCGCGAAAGAATTGTGCAGAAATGCGCCAATTGAACTAATTTTCCAAAGAGTACTCGTAAAGAAAATACTTGTTCATAGATTTCAAATTAGTAAATTAAGATTGTGTTTAAAATGTATTGATATTCCATATTATGTTAATATTAACATTATTCAAAATTTTAGATTTGAAAGAACAATTTCGGAAGCGATTTGCTGATTTGGATGCCAGTGCTCAGGAAATTAGATTGTTTCAAAATCTGTTTGACTGTGATGCTGCAGATGTCCCAAGTCAAATTCAAATGAAAATTATTGAACTTCAGGAAAATTATCACATTAAAGACAAATACAAGGAAGGAAATTTGATCGAATTTTATAAATTTCTGAACTCTGAGCAATTTCCAAATTTAAAGAAATTTGCTTGTAAATTTATCTCCATTTTTGGGACGACATATGTGTGTGAACAAACTTTTTTCCCAGATGAAGTACATCAAGTCGAAATACAGGCCAAATTTATCCGATGAACATTTAAAGTCGCTACTTGTGATAGCGTTTCAAAATTTGAACCTCAATTTAATCAGATTTTAAGAATGCAAAAAGAGTTCAATCATTCACATTAATTGTTTTATTATAATTTGTGATGAAAATATGAGCATTTGCTGCTACTGTCTGTTGTCATTAATATACGATAATGTATTCTCACGTACTTTGTATTTAGTTTATGAAATGTTGTGCTTTCAATAAGACTCATATACCTAGAGCTATTAATTTCTCAATTTATCCGGCCCGTTGAAAGTGCTGAATTAACTAATGTGGCCCGCGTCTCGAAAAGTTTGGAGACCCCTGATCTAGACATTCGGCTCACAGATGGCGATGAGGTTGTCAGACTTACTCGCCGGCGCCCTTTACACCGAGAAAGAGTCCTGTTACTCATTTATGTTAGAGGCTGAGTCGGCCCCAGGACCATACTGGGGCTTGAAGGATTAGGTCAATTAAAAAATCCGGTGATCTAATCTTGAATCGAACCAACGACCTTTAATCTTGGAGCATAGTGCCTCAACCAACGGCGCTACCGCGTGCCATTACTTCTGTACAAATAAGTCAAGCAAAATAAGATATTTGTAAGGCGTGATAATATGCTGTGTTCAAATTGTCTTTGAATGTGCATCATGAACAGATAGCAACACAGCTCATAACATAATCATTAGAGAGCTCTTAGAGTCTATTTGTGACGTATGATGGGAGGGGAAATAGCATTACTAATGATCTCACTGAGCACAGACTTTCTTCGTACGGTTGCGTACTTATGTTACCAAGTACACTCAAAGACATTTTTAAATTTTAGCAGATTCTCGTTAAAGATGAGATTATTTAGACTAATGTAAGGTCCCAAGTTATTCCCAGAACTTATGTTTCATAACTCGTGCTCTTCGACAAGAATAATTAGAATGTTCAAGCCAAAGAGGGTCAGATGGACACGGAGTATAGCACGAATAGGGGGACGAAGAATGGATTTTGGTTGGACCATTAAGAAGACTAAGACGTGGGTGGGTGGATAATATTAAAATGCACATTAGATATAATGGGGTGGCATGGATTCGTTTGACCTGGATGAGGACAGAGACCAGTGGAGGGCGCTTGTGACACGGTAATAAACCCTCAGTTTCCATAAAATGTTGGGAAATTCTTGAGTATCTACACAACTGGCTGCTTCTCAAGAAGGGCTCAGGTCCATGGGATTAATTATATATACGAGCATAAAACTAACGCTATGTTGCCATTGTAGTTATCTGTGTTATAGCCAGAATCTTTAGTAGTTACGAAGAGGAGCAGAAGTTACAATAATGTAATGTATGCTTCAGTATTGCAGTGACGACATTTGTCGAAAATTACTTGTAGGCAACATCATGCGTTCGTGCTTATTTTCATGATGTCAGTTTTCTATCTTAATATATTGTGACGTGTTGCGCAACGGTAATAGGCAGGTCAACATCCTCCCTCCCCTCCCCCGCCAGCGGCGACGTGCCGAGCGGAGCCGAAGTTAGCCGAGTCCCAGCATCCTGGTAGCTATGCAACGCGAGTCAACAGCGGTGACGTCACCAAGGGATCCCGCGGTTGCTAGGCTGCAGAAAACAACTGCGGACAGCATTGCTAGCAACACGGCACCACACAATGGTGCCTATTACGTGATCGTTTTCTGTGTTGTCCGGAACGAGGCTACATAAGGAGCAGCGAAGGCTATTCACAGTTAGTTCCGAGTTAGTTCCGAGCCAGTGTGTGATCAACAGTTCTCAAGTTCTCAAGGCAGCAGTTCTCGAATTACGAATTCACGAGTGAGTTCACAGTTCTCAAGTTACGAGTTAGCCAGGCAGTCAACCTTTCAGTTGTAGTCTAGCATTTCAGTCTAGTATTTGTGATACTGCCGATGGCAGTAACTGTCAGATTGTAAATTGTGTGATTGTAAGAGCGAGTGGAATAAATTCGCTAGATCCAAAATGGCGTTAAGTTATTTGTCGCGTTATACACCCAACACGTGATAATATCTAAGTATTTTGGGGGAAAATTGGACTTCACAGATCGGCTGTTGAAATCGCAAGGCGCTCTATGCTAGTAGTCTTACATTATCTCATGATCATCTCATTTCAAAGACCAACTGCAGATCTATTTTTCATGACACAAATATTTACCTTACGGGAGGGAGGCTGGACATCCCTTGGAGGGCGAAGCAGAAAGTAGATGCTCCGGAAAATAAGCAGGCATTGCGTTCCATTACCTCGGTCTTACTTTTTAACTGAAAGATTAAGATATGAGAAATAGTTTTCACTGTAGAATTTTACTTACCATTAGGCCCCATTTCTCCTCGGAGTATTTTTATGCGTGAGTACTTTCTTTGTGGAGAAAGAAACTCAGTTACTTCCGGGTTTAAATTATTATCTTAAATCTTCACAATAAAATCCTTCTTCATGCATTCGCCCTTGAACTTTCAAGAGCTAAACAGAATTGGAAATATGTACTCTAAAATAAATGTAAAATTTTATAAATGAATTCTTGACGATGTCTGATATCTATGATTTTCGTAATGAGTATAGATAGACCCCACACTCCCATACATTCTATTCCTTAACGAAGTGAGGAGTGGGAAACAAAGGAAGAGTTCCATAGACTCACAAATGTAGCCGAAACATGTCGCTTTAGAGCGAATAAAATGAATGAGAACATCTTTGTTGAATATTATGGCATATTTGCTGAAAGCAAGACCTGTGTATCCAGAGAAACAGCTGTTGCTAGCGAACGGCTCTAAAACAATAACGGCCGCGAAACAAACAACAGAACAACGTCCGTTGCTACGCACCAGATTCTCAATGATGAAAGATTTGGACTACAGAAATAGAAAATCTCTTTTCTGCGTGGCCCGTGAGGAGATGTTATAAGCGAGACGAGGTTTAAAATGCTCAGTTTCTTTTAAGAGACCAACCCATCTTCTCGTTAGAGAGGACGTTATAGTATAAGGATTATTAACGCAAGGGTTTAGTTGAAGAAAAAATTGGTGGTGAGTCTCAAGGGGCTTAACGCCAAGAATAAATGATTGGCGGTAAGCAGCTAGTCGTAAAGTAACTTTGAATTTAACGATGACTATGAGTGCTCAGCTGAAAATCAGGCAGTATTTGGAAATGAGGATTTTTTTTAACTGTAGACGACTATAATTTCTCTCCGAATACAAATTACACTACAATTCCACAGTCTCAATTAAGTTCACATATAAGTACAATTTATTTCCTATATAAGATTTTTAACCACCGTCCAGTATGATTGATAAAATTCGTATTTTTAATTTTTCATCCGTTATATATTTCGGTAAAAACGACCATCTTAAGAAGGACATTATCAACACATACGGAAACTGCTATTATTTCATAGATTGGTGTCTCCACCTTATCGTGGTGAGGGGGTTTGAGTATGCCTGAGGACCCTGAGAGCTATACCAGCGGTAGCGTAGCTACTGGCAGGGCCTCCCTTGCTGGACAGGTCAAAGGGTAGGCATCAGACGAAGAGAGACACCAAAAACTGATGCCGGAAGCAGCGTCATCAGCAGCGACTTGAAGCACAGAGCAAATGATGCTCGAGATGGTTCAAGTTCGTATAGCAACAGGCGTGACCAGAGTGGTTTGAACGGCTGCTGTACTACGATGTGGAAAGCAAATGGAAAAACTACCACATTATCACTTTTCCTGGATGGTCTCTTTCCAAAAACAGAAGATCGCATTAAGTGGAGGAACTGTTTTGGAAGAGACTGTGGACCTGTCGTCTGACAGATTACTGATGGATGGATGGATAAATGTTATAGCTTTTAACTAATACCAAGATGTATACATTGATTTGTTAGAACATCTAAAAATTATTAAAATTAGTCTATTTACAAAATAATGTTCATTTTTTCAAACTGTAACCGATTTGGTTCGTGCTTTTACGCTTCTTCTCCTTAACGGAAGATGAATACATTCCACAGCGTGATTTCCTTGTCTGATGAGGAAGGCTATGCAATTATATTATGTGTATTAT